CTCTACTCTCTCTCTCTCTCTCTCTTCTCTCTCTCTCTCTCTCTCTCTCTCTGAACTATTCTAATTGAACGATTTTTTTTAACTTTCATCAAATAAATCTTTCGTTATTTTCACGATTATTACAATGATTCTAATATTGATGCAAAAATAATTTTCATCACTTTTTTTATTAAATGTTTTAAATAAGTTTGAGTTATAAATATTTTAATAAATATTTTGTTTTCATTGATTTTCTGTTTTATATATATATTTATTATTTTAGTTGCACATCGATTGATTTGTTTGGATATTGTTTTATTGCGGAATATTTATGAAACCTTCGTATATATTGATTATACGAGAGACATTTCCTGCTTTTATCAACGTTTTGAAAGTGGACATTTCAGATGAATGAAATAATCTAATATATTTAATTAAAATATCATTTTGAGGAAAAATATTGTAAGAGTCTTAAAATAGATATGAATGTCGCTTTAAGGAATATAAGTTTTGCCATGTCAGTACATACTGCACATAAATTTTGAAAAATTTTCTTTTACTATATTTTCTCAACGCGCAAAGGAATAGGAGGAGAGGAGATACGAGACGATCACCGTCATTTGTTGAAAAATGAATCTTCTAAAATTTTATTGAATCTACTGCAACTTTCAAGATATAAATGATATTTGAGCGTACTATTTGAAGAAAAATTGTACTGCGATTGAATATAAATGCAGGTATACATATACAGGTATAAACGAAAATCTTAACATAACTGTTACATATCTATTGTTTTTCTTGATGGGCTTGATGGAGTGACGATTCTGACAATTCCGTTGACGATCACGGCCGTAAATGCAATGCTCCGCGCAAAGGAGCGGTAGGAGATGCTACGAACAATAGCGCATGCTCGTCCGCTCCTCATCCTGTACTCGCTCCTGTAGCAACAGCTCAGTCGTCATCATCGGCTCTAGGCATCAGTCTAGAAAATCCATATCAGAGCGTGAAACCGCAAACGCGGCACTTTTTACTGGCGTTGGTACAATTATATTTTTTATCGGAGAGCTTTGCAGAGGGTATATTTGGAATATTTAAACAGTATTTAAAATAAATTAAGCGAATTAGGAATGAAGTCAAAATCTGATCTTCTCCTATATACTAGAGATTCTTAAGTTTTAAATATTCGTCATTATATTCGTCTTATATCTAATTTCTTACGATACGCTATATTTCTAATACATCAAAGAATTTGCATCAGAATAGCTGTATTAATTGATATAATTGCGCCATATTTGATATTTAAAAATAATATCGAAATCAAATAAACAAACATATACAAACTATCCATCATCCATCCGTTAAACATATTTATTTTGTACTATGAATACTTTGATCAATTTTTCGATGAATTTTTCTTCAAATTATGGCAAAAATTTTCAACAACTTTCACGTTATAAGCGATTGAAGATAAAGGACTGTTCAAGAATTCATATTTAAGAAAAGAAATAAACGACTAGCGTTATAAAAATTATAATTGTACCAACCATGTAGTTTTTGACAATATCGCGCGAACGCGGTTGACTTTCTGACGTCGATGTCATCGCGTCAAGTAATAAAGGTGATTGGAAATGATTACTCATTTTAGAGCACGTGTCGCCGGTTGATAGTCGCGTCATTACTACCGGACAGATGCGACAACGGTATGATATTAGAAATATTTGTTTTTTCGAGAAAAGATGCTTTATGTTCACATATATAATGTATTTTGCGCGCGCGCGCGCGCGTGTTTGTGTGTGTGTGTGTGTGGTGTGTGTGGGCGCGTGGACACGTGTTAAAATATAGTATTATTCTTGTCTTTACAGAAAGCAGCCCGTAATAATTCTGTAACATATCGTTATAATTCATATAAAATCATTATTCTATACTGTTATATCGCAATGTTATATTGTGATATTGTGATTATATTTATTGTGATGCGTCAAACAGTCGTCATTCTGAAATGTCACGCATAAGAGATTAACTCTTTAGCAATTATCGCTGATATAGACGATAGAGACAATGAAACAATATTGGAAGCAATCATCTTTGAATAATCAATTATTTTCACTATTTTTTAGACTATATTCTCTTTCTTTTTTTTCTTTTTTCTCGGATAATAAAAGAATTCACCTTTGCGCATTTATGAATTCTCAAAGATAGCGTTGAAATGGTTAAATCACCGATAAATCCCTCGTTGAGTGCACCGTATAGTAATCGCTTTTAAATTAGCAATCCGGAACTCATTCCCAGAGTACGAAGTAACGCGTCTCTTATTAAGATTACGGAAACCAAGAGGCTGGCTATGTCGTTTCAAAGATTAAGAAAGAGTGTGCGTTCTTGTCGAAGATAAAATTACAAGATCGATAATACGAAAATATAAATATAATTTCTGTAAATGCTAATTAAACACAAATTACAGAGGTTGATTTATTTGTATTTAAAAATTTGTTCCTTTTCAATTTTTTTAAATAGAATTATTTCTGTAAGCGATATTTTCTAAGATGTTGTGGAAATTATCGAAAGAGAGAAAGAGAAAAATAAGAGCTAACAAAAAAGACCAAAATTGGAAAAAAATAAAAATTTACAATAAATTTGAAATTGCAAAGTTTAGTATATTAATATTTCATAATAATTTAATATTTCATTTCGTATTTATATATTGTTGTTAATGTCTGATTTTTTTGGTTTTTTAATTTTTTTCTTTATGTTTTAATAAATTTTCTAAAAATAGTTTTGAAGAAACGAAGAGAAAGTAGAAATATTCATTTTCAAGAAGATTAAAAGAAAAATACAATGTCCAAGCATAAATAAATGATAGCATATTTTTGCGCGCGCGCGCGCGTGTG